TTTCCCATTCAAAACCATAGAGTTTAGAATGAGGTGGGATGACACATTCAAAGTGGTGAAAATTGGGGAAAAAAGCCTGTCAGCTAAGTATTTTATATCCAACAAAACTGCCTTTCAAAAAATGATGGCACAATTAAGACATTGTCAAAACAATTAAGACATTATTTATTTGCTATTTGTCAAATAAGCAAATCTGAAATAGTTTTTGCTAGCATAACTTACCTACAAGACATAATAAAAGAAACTCATCAGTTTGAAATGAAAGCACATTAAATGGTAACTTAAATCCATATGAAGGAATAAAGAACACTCATAAAGGTAACTATCTGGGTGTAAGAGATAGTATAAACTTTTGTTTGTAATTCTTTTTGTCTTCTATATTTAAATGACAACTACATACAGTAATAATTATAAAACTGTGCTTATAATATAATATGGTAGAAAAAGATGTAACTTTATGCAGTAATAGCACAAAAGAGGGGGAAAGGAATAGAGCACTAATAAAATAAAATTTTTGTAGACTATTGAAAATTAAGTCAGCATTAATTTGAACTAGGTTATTTTAAGTTAACATGTTAATTTTATCCCCAGGACAACCAGTAAGAAGATATCTCAAAATTATAGTAAAATAAACTGTAAGGTAATTGAAATGGCACACTAGAAAATAATGACTCATATGAAAATGGTCCAATATAGTCTCTGTATATTGGTACCTAAGTTGTTTTTTCTTCACTGCATGCTAAACCATATTAACTCAAAAGCCATCGGCACCAAACTCAAAGTTTTACACACCCCCCAAGTTTGGAAATACCTCAGATTAGCATACTTTTTGCCTGTTTGCTTTGCATACTTCACAAAACCTAACCCCACATCTGCTGGCCATTGAGCAGATAGCTACTTAAAAGACCCCAACATGCCATAGCCTTTTGAAGCTCTTTTGACCCAGAGACTGCCCACCATGCTACTGAGTGACATCACTTAGATCACTTAGACATGCATTTCCTCTCTGATCCTCCCCTGTCTTTGGAATTCCCTTACTCTCCTCTCATTGAGTCGTGACCTTCCCATGCTGTAACCTCTGGACAGATTCCTTTGCAAGAAACTTTCCCTCCCATACAAATCTGTCAGAGTGTTACCCAATAAACCTTGTGGATTCTTCTGCTACCTTATAGTCATGTCCTTTTCCTGGATTGGGCTCAAAATCTCTCATACCCCTGTACTTAGCAAAAAAAGGAAGCAGTCACATAAGTAGGGAACGTGCCAAAAAAATACAGCAGGCAAATATCAAAATGGCAGATATACATTCCATGTTTTTAGCAAATATATTAAATGCAAGTTGACTAACAATTCAATCAAAAGATAGAGATTGCCATGATGTATGTTCAAAACAAAACAAGACATGGTCCAGTTGTGTGCTCTCTACAAAATATACCATGGACTGAAATGCAAAGATAGATGGAAAGCAAAGGGCTGGAAAAGACATACCATGCCAACCATAAGAAAAAATGAGTTGTCATGGCTAGTCTAATTTGAGACAAAACAGACTTTAGGACAAAAATTGTTTCAAAGGCAAAAAGAACATTTTATGACAATAAAATAATCTATGAGGAACACATGACAATTGTAAACATATATACAGTACCAACAGCTCCAAAATATATGACACAATAACTGACAGAATTAAATAATAAAATAGTTCAATAATAAAATTTGGAGACTTCAGTATGCAACATTTAATTATGAATTCCACAACTACATAGAAGACCAATGAGGAAATATGTTTTGAGTCACACTATCAACCAACTAGACCTAACAGGCATTTATACAACACTCCATCTTACAACTAAAGAGTATACATTTTTCTCAAACACACATGGAACATTCCCCAGTATAGATAAGATATTAAACCCTAAAACAAGCCCACATGCATTTAAAAACGTTAAAATTATACAAAGTAAATGTTTTGACTTAAATATAATGAAATTAGAAATTACTGACAGAAACTTGAAAATGTCACATAAATGTGGAAATTAAATGACACACCACTAAATAGTCAATATGTTAAAGAAGAAAGTACAGGGAAATTAGAAAAGATTTTGAAAAGATAAAACAGAAATATAACCTGTGAAAACGTATGGGATGCAGCAAGACCAGTGCTTACAGAGAAACTTACAGTTGCAAACACATATATTAAAATGAAGAAATGCTTAAAATTAATAACCTAACTTTACAACTTAAGAAACTAACAAAACAAGAGTAAATAAAACCCAAAGTAAAATAAATAATAAGTGTTACAGGGAAAATAAATGGAGTAGAAATAGAAAACAATCAAGAAAATCAGTGCGACAAAAACATGGAATATTGCAAAGATCAACAAAATTGATTATCCTTTAGACTGATAAAAAAAATAAAAAAGATGCAAATTACTAAAAGCAAGAATAAAAGAGGGGCATTACTATCTCCCTTAAAATAACTTAGATGAAATGACAAATTCCTAGAAAAATGCAAAATACTAAAACTGACTCAAGAAAAAACAGATAAACTGAATAAACTATAACAAGTAAAGAGACTTAATTAGAAATGCATATTTTTGAAACTCACATAGAAAAGCCTAGACCCAGTTGGCTTCACTGGTGAGTTATACCAAACAGTTAAAGAAGAATTAACATTAATCTTTCTTAATCTTTTCCACAAAAAGAGGAGGAAGGAACACTTCTAAGAACTCATTATTAGAGACTTGTATTACTGGGTACCAAAGCCAAACAAACATCATAAGAAAAAAAAAATACAGAACAAAATCCCTTATGAATAGCATTTATATAATTATAAAATAATTAGCAAAATACTAGCGAACTGAATCTAGTAGTATATAAAAAGATTATATACCATAACTAAGTGACATTGACTCCAATTGTGCAAGATTTTTTTAACATCCAAATATCAGTCATTATAATACACCATATTACTAGAATAAAGAACAAAACCACATGATCATCTCAATAAATTCAGAGAAAACTATTTTACAAACACCAATATCCTTTCACAATTTAAAAATAGCACTCAATAAACTAGGAATACTATGATTAGGAATTTCTTCATTTCGTAAAGAACAACCATGAAAAACTCCAAAGCAGCATTTTTATTGGTGAAAGAATGAATGTTTTCCTACCAAGTTCAGAAACAAGATAAGAAAGTCCACTCTTGCCATTTCTATTAAGCGTTAATATTAAACCACAAACTGAATGGCTCAGAACAACAAAAATGTTCTGGTGACTTGAGCCCCCAAATCAAGATGTTTACCAGGCCATACTCCACTTAGGAAAGAATCTTCCCTTGCCTCTTTCTAGTTTTTGGTGGCTTTAAGTAGTAGTTGGCATCTCTTGACTTACAACTGCATGGCTCTAGTCATTCCCTCCATGGTCATATGGGCTTCTCCTCTGTAGATCCTCTCCTCTAAATATAAACAAATAAATCGTTGCATTTTGGGCCCATCTTAATCCAGTATTACCTCCTATTGACTAATTATTTCTGCAAAAGCCCTACTTTAAAATAAGATCACATTCTGAAATTCTTGGTGAATATGAATTCTGGAGGGACATCATTCAAATCATTATAAAAAAAAAGTAAAACTATTTCTACCTGCAAATTGCATACTCATGGCTCAGTGGCTCAGGATTAGACTTAGGATTAGACAATAATTTCTTAGATATGACAGCAAAAGCAAAAATGGCAAAATAAAAAAAACTAGATAAATTGGATTTTATCAAAATTAAAAACTCATGCTTTAAATACACCATCAAAAAAGTAAAAAGGCTGGGCTCGGTGGCTCAGCCTGTAATCCCGCGCCTTTGGGAGGCTGAGGTGAGTGGATTACCTGAGCCCGCGGGTTCGAGAC